GACTGTGACCAGTGATAGTCATGTATATAGAGATTGGAAATGCATATGAAAACGTCTCAATGTCAATTGCCTTGGAATGAATTTTTCTGTATGGAGCTGTGTGTTTTGACAACGAAGTGGAGATCTTTTTTAAACGTTGGAACCTTATTTAATTTTATGTCTTATAGAGTTTATAATGAGTAAAAGATTATATAAGCGTAATAATTCATCTGTAAACCTAGAAATGTACAGCCAATTTTGAAAGAGATGTACCCTAGCTCAGAAAAATGTTATTGAATAGGTTAATGCTGTTGTGATGAAAAGCTTCTTTTAATTAAAAAAATAAATAAATTAAAAAAAATATGCATGGATTATTTAAATGCTCACCTCACTAAAGAGGAAACCCTATACATATGAATAATTGAAAAGAGCATAAAGAAGGTGTCTTGGGGGCAGGAGAGATGGCTCAGCAGTTAAGGGCACTGACTGCTCTTGCAGAGGAATCAGGCTGGATTCCTAGTACCCACATGAGAGCTAAGTGTCATAACTCCAGTTCCAGGAGTTCTGGCGCCTTCTTCTGACTTCCACAGGCATTGCATGACATGAGTGCATTTATATACATGCAGGCAATACACTCATACACATAAAATGAAGAAATAAAAATAAAAATAAAAAATAAAATATTTTAAAAAATAATAAAATATTTTTAGAAAGAAGGTGTCCTGGTTAGTTTGATACACTAGAGCCATCTAGATGAAAGCCTCAATAGATAATTGTCTAGGTCAGACTGTCCAGTAGACATGTCTGTGGGGACTGACTTGATTGCCATAATTGATGTAGGAGGGATCAGTGCAGTGTGGGTGGCCTTATTCACTAGACAGGTAACCTTGGGCTGTATAAGAAATCTAGCTAGGCATGAGCCTCTGGGAAGCCAATAAGAAGAGTTCCTCCATGGTTTCTGCTTCAAGTTCCTGTTTAAGTGTCTGCCCTGACTTCCCTTAATAATGAACTCTAACCTATAAACTGAGATAAACCGTTTCATCCTTTAAGTTACTTTTGGTCAGAGTGTTTTATCATAGCAACAGAGATGAAGCATTAGAATGCCTTCTTTAGCAAGCATTAGAAGCTCCATAACTGTGACCTACACAGTTTCATGACCTACACATGAATTTTTTAATTTCACAAAAGTTTTAAAAAAATGTTTACCGAGTTTTTGTACAATTCAAATTTAAGATTCCTTTGGCATAAAAGTACAACAGAGGTTGACCAATAAAACTACTCAGTACTTTAACAGGGAAAGCTAGACAAAATTGCATTAAAAATTTACTATTAAATAATGTTATACATACATTCACACAGCAAAGTAGAAAAGTGGCATTCATTAGGTAATAATGATCAGAAGGCCTTTCTAACAATTTTATGCAAAATGCATACATCAAATACCACAGAATAATTTGGGGAATGACAGTGCCTTTATTAATTGAGTGTGGATTTTGTTTTGCTTAATCTTAATTACCCTTCTTTAGCAAGCATTAGAAGCTCCATAACTGTGACCTGAGCACCTTTCATGACCTACACATGAATTTTTTAATTTCACAAAAAGTTTTTAAAAAATGTTTACCGAGTTTTTGTACAATTCAAATTTAAGATTCCTTTGGCATTTACCCTAGTTAAAAATCAAGTTCAATTGGCCCAATTCAGTATGAGAGAATGTTGGTGGTTTTTATGACTTAATTTGGATTTATATAATTCATATATATAATCTGTAATTATATAACCGATATATGCCATAATATAAACATTAATACTAAAAGCATGGCACATAATTATGTAAGCATTTTTCTTTTTTTGTAATCAAGTCTACAAGGTGCTGTGGAGTTCTAAGATTTGTCGTGATGAATGAGGGAACAGCTTGATTTTTGAGCTAGTTACAGTCATGAATAAAGTGCTTAAGGCTGTAAGCAAGCATAGTTGAACCAACCTTGATTGGATGTAAATTTTGCAGCTTCTGGTTTTTAAACTTAGATTCTTCTCTGTGCATTGCTTCCTGTCATTTGCAATTCATGCATTCTGTGAAGCTCACTTTTTTTTGTTTGTTTGTTTCAGTAATTAAAATTCAGCTACCAAGATTTCAGTGAATTTAGTCAATTGCAATTACAATTACAGTTGTGGTTTCTTCATGCATTCTAAGTGTACTTAAAATCAATTTTTTGACAGTTCTTTTTTTTCTCTTTTATGTACTAAGTTCAAGTGAAAATCAAATTTTTGCTGTTTGTTTAAAGGTCTAAGAATACGCCTGTTCAATTTTTCTCTCAAATTGTTAAGCTGTTTATTATACATAATCCGAGTACTGCTTGAAAACCCATCACAAGGAAATGAATGGTAAGTTACCTTTGAGCTCTCACAATATTTTAATTGTTTTGAATTGTATTACATTTTGAAGGGTGTTATATACATTCAGTTTTTTCAAGGACATGAAGTGTAGAAATTCATATGATCCTCAGGCAATTCATATAGATGAATTTGGAAGGTTTGTGTCTGCATTAGTTGCTGGGTTACCTAGTTATCTAATGATAATCTGAACTCTGTACCATGAAATTGTTATTGCTAGTCACAACACTGCGAATAATTGGTGAAGGATGGGTTGGACGCTACAGAACTATGTTCCCACATTGCATGTGCTCGGCAGATTTGCTAGATTCATGCATACTTTCTTTTTCACTGCACTTCTTGCCCACGAGTGGCATTATTCAGCCTGACCCAATGCTCAGTTTTAGCCGATGCATATGTATTTAGCCAAGTGACATTAATTTAGTAATTTTTTGCTTTATCTTCCCTTCACAGTCCTATTACTTTAACTTGTACTTCACTCATCCACTGCCTTTTAGACTGTGTCTTTTGCTAGAACAGTAGGGAAGGAGCCTGAGAGTGGAATGAAATGATTAATTTTGATCTCATCAACATCTTGGACTCCTGTCCAACCTCGTAAGTTTATGATATTCAGAGGAGAAAATTTAAATTTGATTTCTAACTCCTGTCGTAATTTTCTCTATGAAATTTTACCCTAAAATATGAAATAATGTAAGTGAAAAACAAGAAAATGAGCTCATAATATGCTTGCAAATGAATGTGTTACCCTTCAGCTTGTTTAGACAGTGACAGTGATTTTTGTATTTATTCAAAGGTTTGGAGATCAGATGCAAACTAATGAAGTAAATAAGTAAAGTTTTGTTATGCATTAATATCTGTGATACTTTATAAATACAAATATGCTTATAAAATAATACTGAATGAAATTTAATTGTGGCAGTTTTACCCTATTGAATGCTTAGCATACACTAGTCACATTACTGTAAGTGAAGGTAGAGGAAGGGTCATGGGGACATTTGGCATTTTGCAGGGATCTTCAAGGTTGTTGAGGGGATCCTAGCATTAGATTGATTTCATGGTTCATGTTATTTTCTTTGATATTCAGTTCATTTTATGAGATCATTAGACAGGAAGTAGAGGCCTGCCTGTATTGACAATCAAAACCACTTTCAGAACAAATCTTGTTAAGCCTTGTTTCCATTTGTCTCTGTGACCACAGAAGGCAGTGCTTTCTATTCCTTCAAATTCTGAGTACATACCATACGTGGGTCCTCCACTTAGATGCCAGGACAGGACACATGCTAAACTTACTGTGTTCCAGCTAGCTTTTGCTGTATTCTTCCGTTCTTTGATGAAGGAAGAACTCCACCTTATCCAAATCCTGTTCTAACCAGACCTTTCTAGATTTCAAGCAATAATTCCAAACTAACAGTTGCTCTGGCCAAATGCTTTGGAGTCTCTTGATTTCTTGTCTGTAGCAGATTCAAATTTCTGAGAACATTCTGTAGCTCAAACCTTCAAGATGAATGTTGCTTTCAATCACTTCTCAATGAGACTGGCTTTATGGAAGGCCCTGGGCTCATCAGAATTCCTGTAGTACCCTCCTGCTCAGTCTTACTATGCTACCTGTGCTCCCTTTTGCTTTGTTCTGTGAGAGGGTCATTATGCTGTGAAGCCTAATCAGCCTTGGTACAGTGTGCTTTGAATGACAAAGTGCTTTTAGAACCACCCCTCCCCCTGTATCTTCACCTCCTACTGCTCATTTTCTGGTTTCTTGTAGCCACATTGGCCTTGTCTCTGTTCTTGGGTCATGCAGAACAAGTGGCCAACTGGGCATCATGTGGGCTTGTCTAACTGGACTTCTCTTAGTACTCTCTCAAGATCTCAGAGAATTAGGGCTTTTTGGTCGATGTTTCTTCATTTTCTTCTCTAGTGCCTTTGTCTTTTTTTACATTTATATATATATATATATTTTTTTTTTCTTACTTGCTTTATTTTTGAATTTCTGCATTACAATAAACAATCTGTGCTGTCTTAACTCCAGAGCCTGGTGCAGTAAGCAGTAGTGATTAACTAAATGAGTGAGTCAACACATATGTGAATGAATAGCTTTAATCTCACTCTTCTATCTTCTGGCTAGCTTCCTGCTTCAGTGCTGGCCTCCTTAAAGTTACGTGTATTGTGTGCCCTCCAAGGCTGTCTTTGGGCTTCTTCTTAGAAATACATTTTCTCCAATTCCCCCTCCCAGTTCACCTTTTTTGATTTGCTTTGGGACTCCTGAGCCTTCCAGCATGATGACTATTTGCCTGATACTTAATCCTGATGTCCTTATCAGGCATCATGCCCTGTAGCCTAATTCTACTTTGGGTTGGACAGTTACCTCAGTACAATATGCACACACCCTAGATGTGCCTCTCAGACACTTAATATGTCACTCTTAATTTTGCCATTCACTTTTCTGTTCTCTCTCTATTATGGGCTGAGGGTAAGGACCATGCTGTAGTTGATTGTAGCTCCCACATTTATCATGAGTCCTGGGGAGAGGAAAGTGAGTGAATGTTGCTGAATTAATGGAATTATGCCCACCAATGTTATTGATACTTTGTGCAATGAAGATGATTGAGGACCACAACCAAGAGATGTCAGTGCATATTTGCTTGCTACATGCTCTGTCTTCAGTCATTAAAGAACAAGAACATAAGCAAACCTTCTATAAACATACTGGAGATGTTTTTAAAACTTGGTGATTTATAAACTAAGTATACACAAGAGAGACTTGAAAATTTTTAAATGATGCTTGAAGGATACCTCCAAAGAAAAACAGTTCTTTGGTGAGTGATAGCAATGTAAATTTGTATTATTTGGAAACATTAAGAGAACAGAGTTTCCTACAATTAATTTCTATGTAATATTACTAAGACTATTCAGCCATAATTATAGAGGATATACATTTGAAAAACCAGATTACTGTAATTAGAAACCATAACAAACTAGCTTATGGCTCCATTTTGAGTACAAGTTATGTTTGGTTCCCATTGTCAATGCAATCTTGGTTAATGAAAAACAGAAGTGGCCTTTATGGGTACAGGCTCTATTTTAAAATAATGAGGCTAATTCAGCAAAGAGATTTATTTAATTAGAGTCTCTGACCTGATAAGGCTGCAGTTATTTTGTGCTGCTTTGCTTTATTTTTAAGCCTCTCTCAGAATTTAAACAGATATTAAACTATTATAATATGGACAAACAGAAAGATATGAAAATACTTTTAGTATGAATATCTGACATCATGAATACGACAAGCATTGATGCATGCAGTGTGCAGTTTTAGATTTGCATGTATTAGTACATGAGACTCCACATTGTGTAGTTTATGAGTTATACTGGAAGATAGGCTGAGTTGACCCAGGGCCCATAGAAGCTTCCATTTCACTATTATCTAAATGCACATCTCTTTTTGGACTTTTGAAGATGGTCAAGTGATTATTTGTTTTTAGCATCAAATGACAGAGACAAAATCAGGAAGCACATTGTGATGATTAGTTTTGTTAACACCATCAAGAATCACCCAGGACTCAATCTCAATGAGGGATTGTCTAAATCAGGTTAGTGTGGGCAAGTCTGTAGGAGACTGTCTTGACTGTATTAATTGTGTGGGAAGATCTGCCCATCATGGGTGGAATCATTCCTTTGATTTGATTCCTGGACTAAGCACACACATGCATGCATTCATTCTTTCTTTGCTCTTGAGTGACTGTGGGTGTGACTTGCTCTTGACTGGCTATGGATGTGACTAGCAGACTCAAATCCTTCTGCCTTGACTTCTTTACTATCATGGACTGTCACATGGAACTGAGAGGTATGATAAAACCTGTCTCCCTTAAGCTGCCTTTGTCAGAGTATTTCATCACAGCAGCTGGAAAGGAAACCAAGACACATATGAATATTCTTTGATCTTATAATTTTTGAATTTGCACTTAAAATTGATGCCTAGTTTACTAACTGGTGTGTTCTAATGATACTGAGATTTTAAAGATTATTTTTTCCTAAGGATAATAGCTATTATCAACTATAGGAATGGATATTATAGTATAGTCTCTCCTTATTTCCCATGTACTGATTACTCTGTAACTTCAAGTAGTACCAAGTACTCTAACATAAGATCTCAAAATCTTTTTAAAAATGTGCATTTTCTTACCCAGAAGTCTAATACTGATATTCCCTGTAACTGGACAACCTTTCTCTATATAAGGATACAACACACACACAAACACACACACACACACGCACACACACATACACACACAAACACACACACATGCACACATACCCCTTACCATAGCATTAGTATGATATATACACAAATTATTTGATATATATATTTTTGGACCATCCCAGGTTTCAGAAAGAGGAAAGCATGAAGAAGGAAGACAGACTTTAAAAGTTTTTGGCAAATAACTAACTGTTGCTTGAATTCTGCAAACATTTCATATGAAAATAAGTCACAGCATCATGCTTTGACAGTACTGAGATATGTATCTTGCTGGAGTGACTTTTGCATGAGATTCTCCAATGGGAAGGGGAGAATGAATATTGACAATGAATGAAGGCCACTTCGGCCACAGCCAGCATATTTCTGATGGAAAGGTCCTTGGTGCTTATTTGTCCATTTTGCAAGAAAGGCTTATGTTAGTGTGCAGTAAAAGTCATTGTTTTTTGACATTTAACTTCAATCCCTCCATTGTTTGAGATTGTTCTGCTATTTCCTTTTTTAATTATTTTTTTTATTTTATGTATATATGTGTATTGCCTGCATGTAGGTAACTGCACCCGTGTCGTGCAATGCCTGTGGAGGACAGAAGAGGCTGTTGGATTCCCTGGAACTGGAGTTACAGACAGTTGTTAGCTGCCATATGGGTGCTGGGATTCAAACCTGGGTCTTCTGCAAGAACAGCCAGTGTTCTTAACTGCTGAGCCATCTCTCCAGCCCCAAGATCATTTTTCTACTATTTCTAATAATGCTTCATACAGGAATCCACATAGGCAGTTTTAGCATAATTGATGTGTATTTGTGTTTTATTAATTTCTTCTGTTGTTTCAATGGTGTGAAGGTGCTTTTTATTTTATGATTTGGTGACTAGCTCATGCAGATTCTTTCCCCGTGTACATGCACAGCACATACCCACTTATGTGACATGCAGTGTTTGTTCATTAACGTTCTGTTAGTTTTTGCTGTTGCAGCTGCTGTTGCTGATCATGTTGCTGCTTGAAGCCTTTGGTTGTTGGATGCTCAGGTAGATTCTGGGGACTTTCATGTTATAAATCATAGTACAGTAAATATTACTTGTATGTATTTTAATTTTCCCCTTCTGCTTTTTTTGTCAGTGTGATGAAGCTTTGTAGCGTTGATAGAACTCTCAGTTCTGGTTCCTTCCTGTCTTTGTTGGAAGCTTATCTAGAAAACACTTGCTTTTTATGGCATCTATTTTATAAAGGATGGTTTTGACACTAGCTTTTTACAAAAATTTATACAACTCCTTCATGTATTTATGTAATTTAATGTTAAATTGATGAGAAAAATGGCTTTCTAATCACAGTTAAACTTGTATGTCAGAGATTTGTAGATTCTTTAACAGATTATAACACTTACATGATACAATCTTTTCATATCTCATTTCAATTTTAAGGTCTGTTAAAAGTCTTAAATTTAAATAATCTGTAGTAATTCTATGGCTCTCCAGGATAATATCCCTGGCCAAAGAATATGCCCTTATTCAGATATAACAGAGTCTTAATAAATCCACAGTAATTTCCTATTTATTTTCAAGAATATTCATAAAGTTTTTATTTTATTTATTTTTTAAAAATATTTTATTTATTATTTTTATTTTTTTGTGTTTGAGTGTATTGCCTGCATGTGTGTTAAGCGTACCCATGCCATGCAATGCCCATGGAATTCAGAAGAGGGTGTTGGATTCCCTGGAACTGGAGTTGCAGCTGTGGAAAGTTGTTAGCCACCATGTAGGTGATGGGAACTGAAACCTGGTAGTCTGCAGGAGCAGCCAGTGCTCTTTACTACTGAGCCATCTCCCCAACCCTCATAAAGTTCCTTTTAGCAGTGTATTTTATAATTACTCAGTGATTGCTATTTGATTATTGGATGTTTTGTAGCACTTATCTTCTGTATTGAAAAATATGGAGCCTGCACCTTCTGTCATACCTTGTTACTTTTTCCTCAAATGTTAGTGAAAATAACATAGAAATGTTTTGCTAAGGATAGTGAACTCACAGCTCTTTGTGTTTACTAGCAACATCATCATTCATATTGGCTGCCTAATCTGCTGTGTGGATTCAGGGAGGTATTGGGTTTATAACACTGAGTATAATAGACATAGTATTTGATGTTATAGAACTTGTACTATTAGAGGAGGCAGCCAATAAATAAATATACTTACAAATAAATATGAAGGATCAATCATGGCAGGAGAAACATAGTGAGTGATGTTGCCTAGGAGATGAGTTAGCAGTGTTGACCAGGGATTCCTCAGAGAGTCCTCTGAGTAGCAGGATTCCACTGACAGCTCTGTGATGAGGGCCAAGCACCAGAAAGGGGTTTGGGTCAGGAAGGATCATGTCACTCTTGAAAATGCCAATGAATTCCATTTCAAGTGTTTTAGTCTTTACCTTAAGAAGTAGAAAAGTAACACACAGTGGAGTGATCTGATACAAAATTCCAGTAAAAATTAGTAGTAGTGCAATTTAAAAATTGTAGAAAGCAAAGTGAATTTTGAGGTTCTCATTGGTAATGGTTTTGAAAGGGCCAAACTGAAAACAAACAAGTAGACATAGCTTAGATGAAGATGTTAGAGGACTAAAGAGAAAGACTAGATGAGTTCTGCAGATGTGTCATGGGAGGCCTTGAAAAGGTCTGGTGACTAAGTGTTTGAAAATGCAGGGGAAGGGGCTGATATAATGGCTTAGTGGCTAAGATCACTTGCTGCTCTTGCAAATGTCCCAGTTTGGTACACTGCAGCTCATAACCACCCGCCACTCCAGTTCCAGGGTTGTCCAACACCCTTTTCTGGCCTTGATGGGCACCAGGCACTCAAGTGGTGCAGGCAAAACAATCATACACATAAAATTAAAATTTCAGAAAATGCAGGGGAGAAGGTATCCAAGAGCAGATAGGTTGGATTCTGAGCCATTTACTGAGATATAAAGGGGAAAGGGGGATCAGCTTTTGAGAGAGACATCAAAATAATTTAGAATAATTGAAGAGGTCAGCCAGATAGATAGATACATGTTCTGAAATTCTACGGTGCTGTAGTATACTATACCAAGTAATGCCTTTCTATGGTCTTTTAAAGTTTGCAAAGAGCTTATATTGCTCTGTTATTTTGCATGTTATGAAAAGAAAATGTTCATACTTGAAAATAAACTTTATACTTTATGATACTCTTTATTTTTCAAAACTTCAGAGAGTGGGTTCTTTTATTTGTTTGAGGGGTCATTTGGGGGGTATTAAAATGTAATAATTTTCATCTTTTCCTGAGTGGACTTTATTTTTCTAAGTGACTTCCATTTGAACCAATTAAACATAATCAATGGTATGTTAACACTGTTATGGTGTTGTTTTTAAAAAAGATTTATTTTTATTTTATGTGTATGTTTGCATTCCTGTATGTGCATATGTGTACCACATGGGTGCTTGTTGCCCATGGTGGTGAAAAGAGGTGTTGTATCCCCTGGAAATGAAGTTGCCGAGAGTTGCGACCTACCAGAGGGGGTGTGGGGAACAAAATGGGTCCTCTGCAACTGAATGAATCAAGTGCTTTTAACTACTAAGCCACCTCTCCAGCATCTTAAGCATTTTTTAAACCCCAGGAATAATAATCTTTTAAGAAGATACTTAAAGAGAATTATCTCACATAAAATCATCTCACAAAGTGTTTTATGTTAATCTCTGTCACAATGATTTATGTGTTA